GATTAGAAGAACTATTTGTATATTAATTCTCTGAATACAGATAAGTATCCCGAATCCACTGGGAGATTACAGCAGAATGCGGAAGAAAATGAAGATGAACAGTAGAAATCGATAACGAGACAATTTCGAGAGCCTCTCTCCCCCAAGTCCAGTGCCTAACCCAATTTCTGCGTGCCTTTATTCTATTCGCAGCTCCTATTTATAATACTTTTTTTACGGGCCGGCCCATCATTAAATAATACCAGGCCTAGACCCCCTTTAACATAATAACAAACTATGTAACATTATTTTATTATTATTATTATACTAATAGGTTCCTATCATATCTTCCCCTTAGACAACCACCTTGTCCTCAAGGTGGGTGATAGGAAACAACTTTAACTTTTGACTTCATCTTCATCCTGACACCTCTTCCTTCCCAATACATCCCGACTTTCTGGACCATGATCTTCATTTCTTGACCCTTCATCACCCTTTTTGAACAAAGCTGTCCACAACCCGGTTTAACCAGAATCACTTCAGAAAGAAGTATGCTGTCACTCTGGAGAACATAATGATTGTTCTCTTGCTCATGTTTCCCGGTAGACCAGCAAATGTTCTCATAAAATTGCCACTCTCTGTGGTTTGTCAGTATGAAAAAGGAACATAGTTCATTGCTTTTCATATCACAAACAATTGGTACTGTAATAATATCTCCAAATGATCCAGGAAGTTTAAGGTCTAAGGTCTACCGACTCTACTTTATCAATGCCTTTCAATTTTGTAAGCCCAGATGACCAATCAATTTCACTCCCACCATAGACATTAGCCGAACAACGCAACAGAATAAAACGAAACCTTTTACCTCCGGATGATGGTTGTAAGTTAACAACGCTATCATACTGGTTTTCCGCCTCGTGGCCTTCCAAATAGTCTGGCAAAGACAAGTTCAAACAACCTCCAAACAGCCTCATATTTTGCACTCCTGCACCCTTTGTGTTTGGTTGTAGCCTATTCTCAACAATGTGATGAAGATTTTGACCAGGTCCTTGTGAAGCATTAGGATTATTAACATTTTGAGAAGTGACGCAGAATTCTACCAAAACCGAGTTGAAGAATTCCATAGAATCTTTAGAAGCATCAGAAGCTGGGCATCCAAGAGAAACAGGAACTGCAGATGGGCCAATTTCAGGTCCAGCGACCACGGACAATTTCTCCTCATTTTCATTGTCGCCATCAGTGAACTTCTCTGCATTTTCTTCAAATTGCGAAGCACTCCTATCATCAGAGGAAGGTTGCAGCAGGTTAACAGACTCGAAAAGGAGAGGTGAAGCTTGCCAAATGTGAGAATCCTCGGGCGATGGAGTTAGCGCACAGTGAAACGCGGCTTGAGATTGAGAAGAAACCTGCCCACTTGGTGACAAACTGGGATAAGCTGAAGGCCGACGACTATTAGGGCTCCTAGATCGATGTCTGCGATGATGTTGATCCATACTGTTCAACATATCTTTCATCTTGTTCAACATAGCTTTCATCTCCGCTTTCATCTCCTTCATATGTCGTTCTATATTGTCAAAACTCTTTTCTATTCGAGGTGTCATATAGAATTCCTATATCACTCCCAGTTGTTGAAGCTCTGGGACGATCGATGATTCCGATTCTCTGTCTCCGGTTGTTGGAGAAACAACGGGAGATGATACCTGTGAACAGATAGCTGATGCTTACGGACTAAGAAAGACTGTTGCTGACCGCTGGGAACTGAGAGAAAGAGTCCGCAATTGCGAACTTGAAGATGGGGTAAACCGTTGACCAGATAATCAACGATAAAAATACCATTGCCTAGAGCCAAAAGGCTAAAACCAATTTTATTCCAAGATCAGATAGAATGAACCCTGGCAAGGGGTATACATAGCCTTCTAAGAGAAACCCTAATCAAGCCCAAATTAATTAAATCCTAATTAAACCCATAATAACTCTACTAAGTACTCTACTAATAATAGGCCCATAGTAAAACATAACATTAACTTAATAATAATAAATAAACTCTAATGATAGCCTTAACCCGGCCCACGGAAGTGGGCCCAAGCCCGGTCCCGCCCCATGCTCTTCCCGCTCTCTATCAATCCATCCTCCTTCAAAATAACCTTGTCCTCAAGGTTGAAATCATGAAACCGGCTCACATTTGTCCCCGGGGGCTGCCTAATATCTTTAGGAAAAATTGAGATGTACTCCTCCACAGTCCCTGTCTGCTTGCCTCTGGGCAGCCGTTTAAAGCAATTGCCCTTAAACCGTGAGTCAATACGAGCCACCAATGCCTGTGTAAGCTCATCCCATGACATGATCGGCTTTCATGCCCGTAACCAGGTCAACCAATATAAGGCTAGCCCTATCAACCCAGCCGATCAGCTCTTCGCCATTAAACGAGGGCAACATCGTGAGAAAGGTGCTGCACAGTCCAATTCCGAACGAGGATGCTGCTGCCGCGTCATGTGAAGCCACCGCCGTTGAATGCTCCTCCACCGCCGGCGGCGCGAGAGCCTCTGTAAACGTAGCCAAGGAGGAAGTGACGCTGCACGGCTGTATGTCGCTGCTGTGCGCAGATACGGTGGGGCTACCAACCGCGTCCAGGCTTGTTTCTGTCATGACCGGTTGAATTACTGCCTTGGTAAGTGCTGCCAGGGATGCGGCAATCTCTGCCAGACGCATGCCGTGCTCCTCTAGGGTTTGATTCATCCGATTTTGCTTGGCGGCCATCTCTGTCGAGCGGTCGATCTGAGATCTCATCATCCTGGCGGGACGGGATCCGGCAGGTCGGACCAATTGTTGTGTACCAGAAAAAGAAAATCAACGGGGTAAACCGTTGCCCAGATAATCAACGATAAAAATACCGTTGCCCAGAGCCAAAAGGCTAAAACCAATTATATTCCAAGATAAGATAGAATGAACCCTGACAAGGGGTATAAATAGCCGTCTAAGAGAAACCTGAATCAAGCCCAAATTAATTAAATCCTAATTAAGCCCATAATAACTCTACTAAGTACTCTACTAATAATAAGCCCAGAGTAAAACATAACATTAACTTAATAATAATAAATAAACTCTAATGACGGCCCTAACCCGGCCCACGGAAGTGGGCCCAAGCCCAGTCCCGCCCCATGCTCTTCCCGCTCTCTATCACTTTGATACGAACTTAGAGAAGCTGTTTGCGACCACACTTGTGAACTCCTCCTCGAATTTGGTGGCGACTGATGTCTTTTTCTTGCGATACAGTTTGAGATTTGGGAGAAAAGACTTGCGATGAAGATAGATGAGGATAAACAGTTCGCGACGAAGATTTAGAACTGGAAGCCGATAATGAAGCCTGCGAACTGAGAGATGTTGTTGGCGACAACGACGGCCACGGTTTTTCAGATGACCGGCGATCTCTAGTTCGCCTGCGAAATTGATGACCGGTCTTGTTTATTCTACTCCACATCTCCGCAGCCCAATCATCGAAGGGTTGTTGATTTTGTTCAACCTTTTCCAGGTTATTCTCCATGTGCGAAGGTTTCTTGTGGATAGAAGAGCTCTGATACCAATGATAGGAACCAACGATTTCAGAGCAAATCAGAAGAACTATTTGTATATTAATTCTCTGAATACAGATAAGTATCCAGAATCCACTTGGAGATTATAGCAGAATGCGGAAGAAAATGAAGATGAACAGTAGAAATCGATAACGAGACAATTTCAAGAGTCTCTCTCCCAAGTCCAGAGCCTAACCCAATTTCTGCCTGCCTTTATTCTATTCGCAGCTCCTATTTATAATACTTTGTTTACGGGCCGGCCCATCACTAAATAATACCAGGCCTAGACCCCCCTTTAACATAATAACAAACTATGTAACATTATTTTATTACGTAGTATTATTATACTAATAGGTTCCTATCACCCTAGCCCTAAGCCAGATTCATCCCTGCCTACACTAGTACGGACACTTGTAGTACAAGCCTCATACATATCCATGATGATACCGATATACTTACGTAATATGCCTTTTCTAGTCGAGGCCCCCAGAGGACTTATCGAGGTACCCTATCATATATCTTTTCTAAGTTAATGAACACCAATTGCAGATCATTTTTAGTATCTCTATATTTCTCCACAACTTGTCTAAGAAGGTGAATAGCCTCAACCATTATCTCCCAAAGTTTCATGGTGTGGCTCATAAGCTTAATCTGTCAATAGTTGTCACATTCTCATACATCACCTTTATTTTTAAATAGGGGAATAAGGCTACTATTTTGCCAACTCACTGGCATTTTGTTGTTATAAAAAGAATATAATAAAAATTTAGTGAATGCTTGGTAGAGCCTCTTTTGGAACTTATAATGTATCTATTTAAAGAAAAAGCTATTAGTTCTGTTTGGGATGAAATAAAACAAGAGCTTAAAATATGCTCTTATTTGAAACCTGTAGCATTTGAGATATCTGCTACTTGCTTTTCTACTTAGTTTTATTAATTAACCTATTCTTATACCAAGAAAGCACTACCTTATCACCTACAGTATTTGGGAAATAAGCTACTGGCTTTCTGTTTAATTTTTTCATTAATAACCCTATTCTGTAATAAAAACACCCTTTTAATTTATATGTTCAAGTAAACGAAGTCTATTCAATGAATATGAAAATAAATCTGGTGCATCAAATTTGAAATCCAGTGGTTCAAAATTAAACAACAATGCTGCCATTTAGATAAAAACGTGGTTGTGTTTTTGAAAACAAACCAATTTTTTTCAGTACCACAAAGTAGTGATAACTTGTGGATTAGTGCATCAAATTGATCCAAAAGTACATCTGTCCGTACTTTAAGCGAGAACCACTTTTTGTTTTATTTGAAGCGGACCCTATATATCTTTACACACGTAGAGGTGTTAGCTACCTTATGTTATAAAACAATTCTAACCAAATTCACAAGCACTAAGTTTCAGCTTCTAGCTATTAGATTTTCACTTTTCAGCTCATTTGGTTGATGCATGCAGGTCATATTCGGAATATTCATTTCCCATTCGATATCCAAGTTGACACTGCAAATGCTGTTGCCAGTGAAATGGTTGAGGAACTTGACTTGACGGACCAAGACGTTTCGGCAATTGCTGCAATGATCGATGCTGAAATCAGGTCTTACATTCCAGATTGGGCACCTGTTGAAGAAAGGCCAGCAGTAGTGAATCCGAGTTCTGATGATGTAGACAGCAGCCATGATGACTCATCATCATCGTCATCCCCTTCGGCAGTTGTTGAGTGCATCATCTCCGGAGGTCTTGTATTGGAAAAGCTCCCTTCAGGCCGCAAGTATTGGTCCGATTCACCAAAAACCAGTCCCGCAAACTCCCCTTTGAGGCCGCCACATCCCGATTCACAAAACATGGAAGACAGCTGGATCGACGAAAACAAGAAGCCACCAAGGATTTCACAAGAAGAAACCAATGCTGCTGATATTTCCAACGTTGACCTGACCATCATCCCAAACGAGCCTAATCAATTGCTGCAAACACAAAGAATTGTAGAAAAACTCGAGCAGCTCATGTTTGAACAGCAAAACGAGCTCGATGAACTGAGAAACAAACATGAAATGGCTATCTCGGGTGTGGTGGAGGAACTCCCACGAGAAATTCGTAATGGTGTCTTAGCCATATGCAGCAAACACATCTCTATCCATAAGTCACAATACGAGAGAGGATGTTCTTCATCAACTAAGAACTCTACGGATCGTAGTGCTTCTTTGTAGATAGATAGATAGATAGATATAAGCAAGCAGAGCCTTTGATTGTGAAGCTTTATCATTGTAGTAATTTATTACACTTGAGGTTGTGCTCTCATTTGTTCTTCGTTGAGGCAGGGTTTTCTTTGATTGCCTGAATAGGTTTCTTACGCAGTCTCACATGCTGCTTTCCTTTCATAGTTTCATTTTGCATATAGATTAAAAAATAGGCATTCAAATATGCATCTAGTGTTCTAGTATGTATCATACCTGTACATATGAATTGCGTGTTATATTTAGCCAGTGCTTGTTCGTTGTCAAATGGTTTTCTTTAATTTGTAATTCACATCAAGCTGAATATATTATTCTTTTTCATTTTTTTGCTTGTTTGTTTTTTTATTAAATCAAATATACAACTATTATACAGTGGGTTTGGTATTTCGTATGCATGGTATTCCCCTAAAAAAGATGACACCCTGTTCCAAAGAACGCTCTAGAATTAGTTGGACAATTATATAAGGGATGTAAATTGAGCTTTGATCACAAATTGGTGGAAAGAGAGTGAAGTGCTAGTTCGGGTTTTTGTTTGGAGTTGAAGTGTTGAATACATGACATTTTCTTTGGGCACTCTTCCCACATATGAGTTATGCCACTGGCTCACGGTACTCCCCTATATCAAGAGTGGTGTAAGTATGAGTAAGTTGAACGCTTCATAATCATTCTCATTTCATCAGATAATTAAGTTGAACTTTTGATGTCAATTATTATCATGGAAGAAAGTGCCATTTAATTCATATAGTAAAGCACAACCATTAGAGTTTCAAGATCGCCCCTCCTTCGCGCATAGAGTTGGACTCGGGTCACCCAAAACAAGGCTCGACCCGGCCGGGCCCGGTTCGGGCCAAAATTGATTTTTTTTTCAATTTTTTTTTTAAATTTTCGGGTTGGGCTGGGTATTTTGGGCCATTTGGGGGGTTGGGGGGGGGGGGGTTGGAGGTGGGAGGGGGGTTAATTAGGAAGAGGGAAAAAAAATTGATAATAGGCTCGGCCCGGACCGAACCCGGTGGGTACCTGAACGGTCCCGGGCCCATCTATTCAGAACCGGCGGCCCGGACGGTCTAGGCCCGGCCTGAGTCCAACTCTATTCGCGCACCCCAAGAATCGCTGGGCGCACCTCATTTCTCTCATGATCGGACAAATATCCTCTTTGATTCATATTGATACCTCAGTATTTGATTTAATTGCATACAGCATCATTCGTTTTTAATCAACCCGAACCGGGCCGAGTCCACTCCTATATGAGACATCAACCCCTAAAAATTTTCAATCCATGGGCAAACATTTACTACGTTTATTTTAATAAAATGCTATTAGTAGTTCGTACAACTTTTGCACTTCTACTATGTTTTTCATAAACAATATATTAAATTAAATAATTTTTAATGGTTTTTAATCATCATCATCATTATCATTACCCAGTGCTGCAAAGGCTCCCACCTACAGTGGGGTAAGTGGGGTCGGATGTACGCAGTCTTACCCCTGTACTAAAGCACAAAGAGACTGTTTCCAGATGACCCATAGTGAACATCGCGTCAAAAATTGCATGAACTGACGGTTGCTTCATAACAAAGAAGCGCAGGCAGTTTAGTGAGTCCATTTGCTTTATTCCATCATATTCCCAACCAAAAAATAGTGAGTCTTTGGTTCCATTGCAAATGATGGAATATTTTTAATGGTTTTTAATATGAAACCAATATTTCATGTGTAAAATTAAAAAAAAAATCATGTTTGTTTTTCTAGTTGAAGGGCTACTAATTTGCATTTTACTAAAGTATTAATCGAGAAGACATTAGTTTATAGGTTTTTTTCATGAATATTACTAAATTAAATTCAAAGACAAAAAGATGACTTATTTTAAAATTTTCTAAAAAGTGACATATTTTTTAAATTTTTTTAAAATTCATCTACAATGACTTGTCATTCTAAAATACAGTATAGTGACTAGTTCATAGTGACTCACACATAGCGCCTAGTCATATTTTTGTTCAAAAATATAACTAGTTATGTTTTTGTCCGGGTAAACTCTATTAGTAATATCCATGTCATTTTTTCTAGTTATAAGAAGGCAACTTTGAAGTATACATATTAAGTTGACCAAAACTCAAATATTATGAATCATTAATATTTAATTATAATGGCGATAAGAATTTGTTTAGTTGAGCTGTAAATTTCTTCTCTGGTCTGGTCTAATTTGATATGATTTGGTCTAACCTGTATAAGCCTAGTCTAGTATAGTATAGTCTGGTCTCAAATGGTTTGGTCAGGTAGATTTATGTTCTATGTTTATCATACAACTATCAAAGTTTGGTTTGATTTGATAGTTATATTTTACATGTAGAACATACGTATACCAGACCACGTCGTATTGACTTAGACAGAGTAGAAAAATCCGGTCTGATTAAAAACATCCTCATTGATATTATAAATATAAATTAATGCTTCCCAATAAATGTGTTTCTGTCAAATTAATGTGTATACTTCAAAATTTCAATTGTGCCTTCTCATAATTTAATGTATCTTATATTACTACTCCATCTCTCCCTTAACATTTGCCAAATTTCAACGGTATGCAGAAAATAATAGGAAAACTATGTAGTTGAGGTTTGTGCAAATGAGAAAAAAACAATTGAAATCGTGACAATTTTGGAACAAAACAAAAATAAATATGAGAGAATTTTAAGCGATGGAGGAAGTACTTTAGTGAAATACACATTTACTAGTCGTTCATCAAACCAGAACAAAAAACATGATCATGATTTTTTTTTTAAAAATTCACACATGTAATATTAATATCATATGAAAAATTACAAAAATGTTTAAATTGATATATATTTTGTAAAATGAGAGTATGAATGAAAATGTTAGAACATTTTATAAAAATAGTACTCCATCTTTACCACATGGCTGAAAAACTATTGGATACTGAATCAATTTTCTAAGCTGATCTATGCTGGTAGTGTGATCGGGATGAGCGGACAGTTGGGAAGATAAGGGTTGTCTTGCCGTATTTCTCTTTCTGGCTAGGTTAAAAGTGACATCTTTCTCGTAGATTTTTTGCAGGAGTATGACTCAACTTGGTTGTTATTTCGAGTAGGTTTGATTTGGATATTTGAATTTCTGAGTTACTTTTGATAGACAGTGTTTTGATTCCAGTCATTTTAGCCTTACAATTGCCCGTTTAATGTCTAGCGGATCATGTTGTTTTATATGAGGGGACTGATTCTATGTCATTGTCTAGTGTTTACAATTGAATCTGTCGTAACTGTTTGGAGATTGTCTTATTTAATTTCTTGATATTAATATAAAAAGCGCTCTTTTATTGTGTACGTATACTGATCTGCATAGGATATGATTTAGCAGTGAACTATTATTAATGGATTGTATAGTAATTTCATTTTCTTTCGAACCAAAATAATCAAAGAAGAGTAGAATGAGATAGTGGTTCAGGCTAGTATGTTGCCATAACATTCTATTCTAAAAAGTTACTGCTATATTTTCATTTTATCACTCTTGAGAATATATATGGAAGACATATGTGTGCTTATAGTTTAGTTTCCAAAGAACATGCCATCTTCTGTAAATTAAAATTGAGACAGGAACATGAAAGAGGTAATCTTGTGGTAGAAATTAAGTTAATCATGTCAAAGCTATTAACTCAATTGGTAGAGTGTGCAAATTTTGCATATTATGTGGATTCAAATCCCATGTAGCCTAAATAAGTGTTCAAAGTTTTAACTTTTCCGTAAAGTACTTTGAGGTACGTTTGAGTTGTTTCGGTAGGCATACTTTTGAACAAGCATCTAATTAAATTGCAACTGCAATGGGAACAACACTGAAAAAAACTAAAAAAACAACCAAAACCTTGTGTAAATTACTACGATAATTACAAGCACTTGTATATAATTTGACTATTAAAACTGCTGAAAGTTAATTCTGATAACACCTAAAAAAATTATTTTGATAAATTAAATGCATTACATTCAACTTCGCAACAAAAAATATGAAATTGGTACATAAACTTTCTACTTCTATACAATGGTCTTTGATCCTCACTTTCTCTTTTCCCTTCCTTTCTTCAAAACTGTTTTGCATGTCAATGTCTTATTTGGGGATTTGGCAATTGACTTTTATACCCATGTCAACGACTTGAACTTTCATAAAAAATGCAAATAAACCCTTTTATAGGAGGCTTTGTCCGGCTGTCGCTATTTGGGGCGGTTTCCGGTGGAGTTTTTTGATGAATTTTTTGAGCATCTTCTTCATTAAGTCAAGTTTACCCATACCAAATTTCAGTTCGAGAAGGCAGTCAAATGAGTTTCTGAAATATACTGTGCTACCTAACTACGTAGTTATCTTCAAAAATTCATTTGACTGCCCTACAGATTGAATTTTTAGCTGAAATTTGGTATGAGTAAACTAGACTCAATGAAGAAGATTCTCAAAAAATCTCATCAAATAAATCCACAGGAAACCGCTCTCAATGGCGACGGCCGGGCAGAACCTCCTATAAAAGGGCTTATTTGCACTTTTTATGAAAGTTCAAGGGATTATTTGATAATTCTCCCTTTGACTTATCAACCAATTTTTTCACCAAGCACGTAGCTTTTGAGCGGGCTGAATAATAAAAATAGCATGATTGAAGTTACTTTTATGATTGTATTGGCTAAAGTTATTGGAGCATTATTTTAGCTGTTTTTTCAAATAATTTTTTATTCATTGTATCAATAAAATATAATTTAAATATAATTGTTTCATGAATTAGCAGAATCAGCCAACCAGTCACTTCAGCCAGAACTTCATAAATTTCAGCAGAATCAACCAATACAGCCGATTAGGATATTAGCAAACGGGCTCTAAATCGTCATTCACTGCCACAAAGTTGTCTTGGATCTTTAACTGTGAAGATAACAAAATGTTTATAACTAATAGTCACAACCATAACTCTAAATGTATCTACATGACTGTAAACTCACACAAAAAGAAACACATAACTGTAAACTCACACATAAACAAGTTTCCCTGATTTATCATAAAGTGCCCCGACCAAATTAGCTCTATTGAAACTGCAAAACTGTATGCATGTGAATATTCTTAAGGGTTCCACACTTTAAGCTTCTTCCTTTCCTTGAAAAATATTAAGTTTTCATCGGGAATTAATAGAACAAATGTGTTATCTTAGGCACCATGCAAGTGTCCCATACTCTAACTTCACATCAGACGAAGGTCGAAGAATAACTTCAAAGCGTTTCAACCACATTAATATAGAGATACAATGACAATGAATCGCACCAATGGAGGACCTAGGGGGCCTGGAGGG